CCTGTGGGCAATATACGCCCAGTGAACAGAAAGTTGAAGGGTACGTCGTGGGACTTTTCGTACCAGCAAATTCGCGCACTTAGTAAATCCGTGTGTTAAGGAAATAATGAAAGGTAAATTTGCTTTGCAAAACAAGCTAGCTGGAAGGTGGAATGTTTGTCGACGAGATGTTTATTACTAAAGTACATAGCAATTATACTGTGCGAACTCGCGCTTTCTAACTGCCTCGTTTCCGATTAGCTGACACCAACCCACGCGAGCTATGGTTCTGAGACAACGATTGTCGAACACCTGAAGAAGTCTCAGTTCCGCTGTTCGAATATGCCAAGTCTCACAGCCATACAACTAAACAGCCCGTACAGTAGCTTGATACACACGCCCCTTCAGATTCAGGGATAAACCAATCTGACGCCATGGGTGTCTCAAGTTAGCAAATGCAGTCCGAACCTTGCAGATTCGTGCATTCACCACATCTGTCACACTGCAATCAGAACTAATACAACTTCCAAGACACGTGAAACGCTCCACAACTTCCAGTACCTCTCCCTTGATTGTAAGGGGTGTGTTTAATGACTGCACGTCCACGAGTATGATCTTACACTTTGTAGGTGCGAAGTGCATACCAAAGGACGGGATGATTTTGGTCAATTCATCCAAGAATACTTGCGCCTTCTCCGACTCTTCGAACATGAGAGCGATGTCGTCTGCATATTCCAGATCGACAAGGTTTTCTTCACTGGCTATTTGAACACCAGGGTTTTGGAGACCCTTCGGCGTTCGTCTCATTATTTCATCGATCACAAAGTTGAAAAGGAATGGAGAGAGTGGGCATCCCTGACGGACACCGCTTTGTGTGCGGAAGCTTTTGGAGAGCTCTCCGTACACTCTCACACGTCCGGAAGTCTGAGAATACAAAGAACGTATTATGTTTACAAACTTCCGGGGCATTCCTTGGTGGGCAAGCGTCTCAAGAAGAACAGACCGATCAACCGAGTCGAATGCGCCTCGGAAATCCAGGAATACTAGAATCGTGGGTCGCTTATACGTATGGCGTTGTTCTAGCACCTGACGCAGTGTGAAGATTTGGTCAACACAACCCCTACCAGGCCGGAATCCCGCTTGCTGCTCTCGAGTCAGCATCTCACGAGCCACCGTAAGGCGACGAAGCACAATTGACGCCAACAGTCTCGTTACAACCGGGGTCAAGCTGATCCCCCTGTGGTTACCACACTCACTACGCGCCCCTTTTTTGAAAATGGGCACTATCACCGATTCTCCCCAGTTGTCTGGGACAGACTCCGTTTCCCAAATGCAAGCAAACACATCGCACAAGCTCTGACTGAGGACTCCACCCCCGTCTTTGAACAGTGCAGGTGGAATGTCATCCGGACCGGGAGCTCGGTGGCGCTTGAGGGACCATATGCAGTCATAAACCCCCGAGGTCGTAGGTGGCTCCACGTTGACCGTCCAGGCTTCTACTTCACCTGCTTGCTCTAGATAAGTGACGGCTGGGGGCCACGACAGTTGTTGTTCGAAGTATTCAACCCTTCGCTCGAGGCGTTCTTCTTTGTTCGAGATGGTCGTTCCATTCTGGTGTTTGATAGTTTCACACACAGGTGGTTTCCGGGGACCGGTCACACGGATCAACTGAAATAATCTCCGGGCATTACCTGCTCTCTGGGCCTCTTCCATTTCTTGGGCTTTCTGTGTCCACCATACTTCATGATCAGATCGCAAGCTCACTTTCACTTGAAGTCTAATAGGTCTTCGCACCGGATTATTCGGGACGGGCTGGGATATTTCTTTGAGAGTTAAGTAGTGCCACCGTTTGATCTGATATCCAGTGCTTGAGTGCGCCTGGATGGATCGTGCCACAGGCAAAATTCCCAGCACTATGCAAAGAGGTGGCAATCTCGTCCCAGTATGAGTTCACATCTGATGGTGGAGCACTTGGAAGAGACT